ACATGCAAAGTGATACAGATTCCTTATTTTCACAACAAGCATTTGGAACCTCAATATTATATCAAAATCATTTAATACAAATCTTTTATTCATCCACCAAAGAAATTTGTGAAAATTTCAAGGACTGGGTAGGCAACAAAATCAGGAAATGGCAATTTGTCCACAGACACCTGTACACTACAGCCGGTCAATAGCTAAGTTGATGTATCCTCGTGGGGAGAATCTTCAAATACTTGAAAACCTTCCCAATAAAAATTTCACTCAGTCCGGGTGCGTGACGTACCAAAGCTTTGTCCCGTTAAATGAAATTTGAATTTGAATGACAGGTATCCAATGTTCACGGGCGCCAAGGTATCCTTTTTTTTCCCCCCAAAGCCGGTGCCCTATAAAACGACTTGGGCTGGCCAACGTATGGGCTTTGGCACACTCAGAATTTGCAAATTTGAGTCTATAGTTTGTTTTTGTGGCCCGTAGCGTTGAAATTGTTTTTGTGGCACGTTGGCCCTAAAGCACTTGACAAAGTGAGATTAAGCGCGGTTCATCACTAGATACTGCCTGACTTGATTACCATATAAGCAAGCTAAACCTAGATTTTAACGGAATCAAGTTCTAATTGAGCTTACGGGACTTGAGTTTTTAGATGTCAGCAAACTTTTTTCTTTTATGTAATCGTGATCCTTTTTTTTTTTTTTTTGGAAGAATAATAACGATCAAGTTCAATTTCATTAGGACATAAAGTAGATACTACGTGAACTTTTGTTCAGGCAAGTTTGTTTGAAATTTTATTGAACTGAACTAGAGTGGAGATCGAGTAGCTTGAAATTGTTACATGTAAATTTCACTTATATGCTCATCGACTCAACTTTGAACCGAACTCGAAAGTTTATTGAATACAAAAGGCTATATAAAATTAATTCAATTAGTTGGCGAACCAAACTCTTACTGAATCGAATTTGATTCAAGTATTGAGTAATTTGATTTGTCTTTTGACTTTCACCATACTTTTGAGAGGATCAAAGAGGATTGTAAGTGAGAACCAAAAGCAGAAGTGTGGAGAAATGGAGGAATTTAAAATTTGTCCCAAAAAAAAAAACTCACCCAAAACTAGAGAGAAATGTACAATAAAATGATAACGCTCAACAGTCCCAAAAAAGGGCCAAAAATAAAAATAATTCCTCACACCCCTTCTCTCATAGCTGCTGTCCTCTTTTTTTTTCTCTCTTTTTTTAAATATTCCAAACTAATGGTTAGTTAATTGATGACAAAAGATTCTTTAAGGTTTGAATTTGGGTGATGCAATCAATAATTTCTCTTGACTTTGAATAGCACAGTTTGATTCTTTCCTTAGCAATTCGGAACGAAAAGAGTACACTAATTATCTCCTCCTCTTCATTGAAACTCGAGTACGTCTTTCCAAGTCAAACGTTCTCAATGTTCATTGCCAGCGGAACAAGATTTTCATTTTAGATTACAGACTCAATCTGGCTCAAAAAAGGATTTTAAAAAAAAAAAATTTTGTCCCAACATCAATTTGAAGAACGAGTCCGTCACCTTTCATCCTCCTCATCGCAGCAAAAGAATAATTTATCCATGCAATATTGTACTTATTTTCCGACGGCTGGAAAAGATCAGAACTTTTGTGCTGTGTTATCTTGGGAAGAGGATCATGATTTGGTGACTTATTTGCTTTATCAATTGTCATGAGCTGGAGCAAAGTCAATATCAATTTCCATAGGCAGATACGTACGGAAAAGGCCCCAACGCCTATCCTGTATGAAGAAAGCTAATCCATTTGTTTAGCTTTTTCGAGCAACAACACACTTTCAAAGGTTCCCTTTTTATTTTCTAAAGCATATTCTGCAAGCCGCAAGATCCCCCACTGATAACAAGCAAGTGTACGGATCATCTTATCTCATGCTTAAGAGAAAACACACACACACCCAATATATATCCATTGATTGGGGCGCTTATTCTGCGTTTGGCTTGATTTTTCTCCAAATTTGCAGTTGAAAAAGAAAAAAAAAAAAGGTGATTGGAAGTAAAAGATTGTTTCTGTTTATACAGTATACAGAGATACGTATATACTCCGTAAGTAACGTGCTGCAAGCATATATGGTTTAGATGGCTTCTAAACTTATAAAAAAAAACCCCCAAAGAACACACGAGTAAACATCAAATAACAACCGGTCGAGAAAAGAGTCTGAGAGGCTTAATTACAAAGAATAATAAGAGTTTGGGAGCATGGCAATTAAATTTAATCACAATGTGAGCAGGGGGACGAGATTGGAAGCAAGATACTAATAAATTTAATTAAACGTACTTGGAATGGAGATATGGTTGGGGATCAAATGGAAGAGAAAGACACAGGTGGGTATACACAGGAATCGCATATTGATACAGCAAAAGGATACTTTAATGTCATCATTTGAGTTTTGTGGAATGGGGAAGGATGGCCAATAACTGGAAAACAGCAACACCTCCCGTGCCCTTTTTGAGTATTTTGAAGCTTGGAAGTATTTGATCAGGATGGTCCCCCACCCCAGCTGATTAACCACACCTTTAAAAATCTAAAGTGAATAATCGAATGGAATAGGGTAAAGCTGGGGTCTGAGAGCTGTTGCTATCATGCCTGGTTGGATCACAGGACAGGAGGAGTTGGATAAAGGAGGAAACTTGAATGAATGTAGCAGTAAAGCCGAAACTTTATGTCTATGGTGCAAATATATCTGCCGCAGCATACTACTAATAAGAAAAAAGATCAGTCGCAAATACTACACACCATAGCAAGCAAATCATATAATGCCCTACAGCCTAGGTTTTGCTTTGTCTTCACGGGATTTCGTCCCATGCAAGGATGCAAGGAACAATAAGGACGCTTGTAATTATTATTTAATTAATAATGCTGAAGCATCATCGGGAGAGATAAAATTCCAGTGATTAAACTTTAAAGACGAGGTCTAAAAAGGCTAAAACTAATGTACCTTTTTCTTTTTCTTTTTCTTTTTCTTTTTTTGTCAATTGTCATCGTCAACACCAACTCCTATTCTAATTTTATTCTTGAGAGTGATTCGGCAGAGTGTTAGAGAATCGATGGAAATTGAACCACAATCGGAACATACGAGTGCATTATGCACCCGCATGGATCTAAGAGAAGCTATATTAAATATCAATTTTGATGGGAGACAAGATTTGAATCCTTGACATCCCACTCCACAAGATATGTGACGGTCAACTAATTTAGAGGTAATTAGTTACCTTTTCTATAAACTCGGTGAGTGAGCATGCTTGAGTAGGAGTTTATTTAAAATATTATTTGAAATAATTATCGTAATACTTATTTGGAATAAACTACTTTGATAGTTTTATTTTTTTTCACACACTTTAAGAAAAGTTAGTTAACTTTGTTGGAAAAATAAATCTAACTTACTATCTTCCTAAAATATCCTAACATTAAATTAAGTGGAGTATGGCTAGGTTATACTCAATAACAAACTAATATATTAAAGGGTTAATTACATTTACCTCCCCTGAGGTTTGATCATATTACTAGTCAATCCCTGTAATTTGTCCATATAACGGTCTCACCCTTTGAATGATCAAACATTTAACAAAAACCCCTTAATGCCGAAAATGCCCTTTATTGAGGCCATGTTGCATTAAAAAAAGAACATATTTTTATTTTATTAATCCTGAAGCAATCCAAAAAAATAGAAAAAAGTTTTTGCTTATTATTTTATAAAAATCATATATTTGCTTCCATAAATAGTTTTGAATCAATAATTATTTTAAATCTTAAAAATGAATATTAAAAATTAAATAAATTGAAAGAAAAATAAAAAAAAGAAGAAATTATTTTAATTCCTGAAGTATGGTTCAAATTGAGGAAAACATGCCTTGTGCTCTCGCAATATGCCTTGAACCACAAATTCAAACCATACTTGAGGATTTAAAATAATTGCTTCTTTTTTATTTTTCTTTCAATTTATCTAATTTTTAATATTCATTTTTAAGATTTAAAATAATTATTGATTCAAAACTATTTATGGAAGCAAAGATATTATTTTTATAAAATAATAAGCAAAAATTTTTCTATTTTTTTGGATTACTCGAAGGTTAATAAATAAAAATATGTTCTTTTTTTAATACAGCATGGCCTCAATAAGGGCATTTTCGGCATTAAGAGGGTTTTTGTTAAATGTTTGATCATTCAAAGGGTGAGACCGTTATTTGGACAAATTACAGGGATTAATTGGTAATATGGTCAAATCTCAGGGGAGATAAATGTAATTAACCCTATATTAAATAAGGGCATTTTAGAGAAGTTATAAGTTAACTACATTGTTCAATTGAAAAGTAGAGTATAATTTGAGACAGATAAAAAAAAAAGAAAAAAATCAATTAAAGTGAGATAGAGGGAGTATGATATCCGAAATAAAAAGCTTGTTGGAAAAATAAAAAAAATGCTTTGAAAAGTGCGATTGCACTGCGAGCAAATAAATTTTATACACATAATAGCTATCCAAGGTTAGCCGCCATGAGAGTTAACTGAAGTAATTAAAAGTCGTGATGTTTTTCATGTAATTGAAGTAAAGAAATGTGCTCATGATCTGTGTTCGATTGCTTGGGGAGTAAGAGTGGCATGCTTCAAAATATTTGCTTGTCCAGCTAGGACGCTAGCACATAATGTACGGTGGCACCGGAGGTACAACACAAGTGATAATCCAGACACATTATTAATGTATGAAGTCTTTGATTTTATGCGTTCCAACAATTAATTACTGTAATATGTTGTAACAGTTGCGTTCCAGCTACTTCTTCCATGCAAACCAAACCATTGTTCTTAGTTTAGATTTCCATTTGGCCTCTGTGCCGTACGCGTACAAACTTGAGGACATTCTAGTAGCAGCAGCACTCGTATTATTACCTGCTTACTTTTTTTGATTCATTAAAAGAGGAAAGCATCTAAAAGCACTAACAAAGTAGAGCCGCTCTTCACTTGGCTAATGACGGCGATTGACTGCACGACATGCTAACCGATTCTTCATTTCAAGAGATAGCTTCAAACACTCTGATAGGTCAACTTGTTCGGCCGCCGGATTAATCCATTTGAATTGTTGAAGTAGCCGTGCCAGCCATAGTTGCACCGTGGTCAACCCCAGCATCCTTCCCGGGCATACCCGGCGACCTGACCCGAACGGGGCAAGCCTCAAGTCCGACCCCATGATCGAAACATCCTCCTCCATGAACCTGTCGGGCCGGAATGCCCACGGGTCTTGCCAGATGGCCGGGTCATGGGTTATGGCCCACATGTTGACCATGGCTGTGGTGCCTGCAGGGACGAAGAACTTGTCCACGTGGACATCGTGGATGGCTAGGCGGGACCAGGAGAGCAGTGGGCCGGGCGGGTGCAGTCGGAGGACCTCCTTGACCACAGCTTGGAGGTAGGGAAGATTTGGGACGTCGGAGTCCTGCACGTCCCGGCCGTGGCCGACGCACGTGTCAATCTCGCGCTGGGCTCTGGCTTGAATGTCCTGATGCAGGACCATCCTGGCCATGATCCATTCCAGAAGGATAGCCACCGTATCTGTTCCTCTAAATACCATTTCCTACGTAAAAAAAAAAATAATACAGCAATTATTTAAGATGCATACTCCTTAATAATATGATGAGATATTATAAGGCGCAAATTGAAACGCAGCCTTCGGTTTGATGGGACGATGTCACTTGTAATCGAGAGCTACGAATTAAAAAACGGCCTGAAATTTGATGCAATTAATTTGTTTTCTTCAACAAAATTGTGATGATAAATAAATAGAGTGGACTTGTGGTGGACTAGGAGACGTCCCCCGTGCACAAGCAACAGGAATTAATCACTTTCACTTTCAGGTGGAAGTTCATGTTTGCTTTTGCACATCCTATCAACATTTTGATTGTGACACCTAAACTCGGATTCATTAGTGCAGTTTAATAAAGATTTCCTCAGTTCAGTTACGCAGGCAGGCGTAAGTTAGAAACTCAAATAGTACAAAAATATATTAAATAAACCACTACTATTTCCTAATCGAACATGTCATGCCCCCGCCGCATGGTTTAAGCAATTTTGTTCCTTATTCGGATTGGGATAGGATTTGGCAGGCTCAGGGAAGCCATGAACCACGCAAAAGGTTAAAAAAGATATTTTCTCATAATGTGATTAATTTATTACCAGATTTGTTTGACCATTATCTGTTTGCTGGCTGACCTACGCAATCATGATGAGTCCAAGGTCGTCCCAACCAGCATTCTAATAAGTATTTTCCTAGCTACCAACCTAAACCAACCTTTTTTGACTGCTACACTCAAAATCCTAGCCACCATCTACGGATCCGCTTTTTCTCTTTCTAGTAAACTATAAATGAAATGTTCTGATTCCCGTCCACGCAAAAACTAAAAATAAGAAGATTTGACTCCTATAGAGCTTTGATGGAGACATTCTACACTGTAAGCATGCAGATGCATCGATTGGTTTCAAAAATTCTAAAATTTGACGAACTGAGTGATCCTACTACATCTGCAAAAGAGCAATTGCAGGCCGACAACGTGTGTAAAAATGGAAGGAAGCACTTTAGTCTTTATTGCTTTGAAAGCAGACCATGCATGCCCGCGGGAGACCCCATTTTCTGATTCTTCGATGTGAAGTAGCTGGGAAGAAGATGTGACTATGAACCAACAACATCAAGGTGATCTACTCTTCGTTACCCCAGCCCAAAAACGTGTGCTCCATCTGCTCCTTTCTTACTTTTTCTCCGGAGGCGTGTCCCAGATGGCCTGAAAATGAATCTGAGTCGAGTTGGCTTCTTTTTTTCCAGTGGGCCACCGGATATGATCCACCGGAGAGTAGGGCGCGACAGACGTTGTCAGCATTCCATTCGGGCAAAAACACCTCTACGTCACTTCTCTCGTTCCCCGTCCCTGGCGGCCCGGTCTAAGAATATGATCTATCATCCTTAGATCTTTCCTTGTTGGGTTGGTTTAATCACAAGTTGAAAGCAGCGCGAATGGAGAAATTCAGAAAATGCAAGTCTCCATATTTTGGATCACTCGTGTTCCGCGTCCAAATATGTCTGTAATTCTTACAGCATTTGGTGGGTATGAAATAATACAATTTTGGTGTAAGCATAAACTCTATCAACTCATACAATTTATTCATTTGAATTTACGCACGCCAAAAGTTTTGAGAATTGTAACAACTAAACACAATTAAAGAAGAGGCTCTAATCCATATATTTTAGCCCCTTTTGAGGGTTGGTACCAAAGCATGTACAGGTAAAAAAAAAAAAAAAAAAAAATTGCTGTACGTCCTGTCATAATTCACTGGATACCATAATCCAAACTCATAGCAGCAACAAAATCACACATGTCAGTTCAACTTTCAACCTTCCGGGAGTTATGGTTGACGTGGCACCTGTTTGAACCTAATTTGAAGTAGAATGAATAACCATCGTACGCTCAACTACGTTCTTTCTCGCAAAACTCATGATACGAGATTAGCAGCAACTGTGTTGGAAGATACTTACCAATTACGTTTGTTATTTCTTCGTATGTGCTCCCTTTGTTTAGTTAGTAAGGAATATAATCATATATGTAATAGGATTAACTCATATGTCTTAGGCATAATCCAAGATGAGGATTGCTTCATTCCTTGATGTCCAAATACACTACCTACTTGTATAACTTCGTCGAGCCTTTGCTCGCAATTGTACAATTCTGATAATCTATAAAAACCTACCTATCGTTTCGTTGAAAAAAAAAAAAGCATCGTATGCACTACGTACATCCAGAGCTTGCTTAGACGCTGATAGCAACTTGAAAAGTTAGTTAATAGACGAGTGCAATCACGAGCCTGAGGGATAGCCAATGCTCCATGTAGTAGAACTAGAACATACTCCACAAAATAAAATCACTTGGACACACATATGATGTCAACTTCATGCAAAATCAGAGCAGGTGGTGTGCCTACATGCATGCATGGTAAAATGTCTCGGTCTTTGCATGTTTAATATGTCTCGCAAAGGTGCTTTATATATAGTCTCATTTGTACTTGTGATATTTTCGCTGCAAACCACTTGGCCATATATATATGCCCCTTTAATTTGCACTCGACAAGATACTTACCAACAAAGTAACTGGCTGGCAGACTTGAAAAGAAATGAAACTTGCAGTATCATGCATTACGTGGTGGTTATGTATTCTATTTGATGAGTAACTAATTAATGTTTGACTTATTTTTGTGACATTGGTCGCGGCCACGTACAAGTCTCGCTCTTAATATTACAGACCACAATTTGCATTGTCATTGGACCGATGTGAATCCCAAACCCAAAAAAAAAAAAGTGGATAAATTATATGTCTTTCTCCATATATGCAAGGAGGAAAAGGATTTATATATAGTGCAAAAGTGTAAAATATGGTTGTAGTATATGAGTAATCGCCTCTCATTCAATCCCCTAAAAATAAAAATGAAAGAATCTCAACCAACCCATATAATTAATTGAATGATGAAACCATCACATGCATAAACATCCCTCCCAAGCCCCAATAGGCTTAGGGATGGGTCATATGAATTTATGGCGATGAAGCACGATGTGTTCATGCAGCAACATAATCTTGAATACAAAATGAAAGAAAATTAAAAGCAGACTCGTGGACAACTATGTTAGGAAATTGGCTTAATTTCTTTTAGGTAGAATTCTTATTTTGTGTGGAAGTAACTAGTTTCCTAATTGGTTTTAGTTACTTGAAGTAGTAGTCAAGTAAATCCCTATTTAGCTAGATACTATTTTCTACTCTATATGAGTTTAGGAAATAGTATTGGTTTCCAATTGCTATTTGGTTTTTTTGGCAGTAATATTTTTTATAAATAGGTGGGTTGACATACTACAAGACACACAAAGGGACACACAAAGGGACACAAGAGGGCATCATGTAGCCTTATACACGGGGTGTGAGAGAGGGTTCTTGGGAGATGAGAGATGATATACAAGGGTTGAAAGAATCTCAATCAACCCATATAATTAATTGAATGATGAAACCATCACATGCATAAACATCCCTCCCAAGCCCCAATAGGCTTAGGGATGGGTCATATGAACGTCCAATGAGCTTGAATTTATGGCGATGAAGCGCGATGTGTTCATGCAGCAACATAATCTTGAATACAAAATGAAAGAAAATTAAAAGCAGACTCGTGGACAACTACCACCCGCAAAATCAAAATCTATCCCTTTTTAAACTATCACGAAAAGCTTTACAAAAAGCCATGCCCGAAAAAGCTTCCCACTAACACCAGCGTCAAGTCCGATTAGGCACTGGAGGAAAAACACTCACATAATGGCCTCTTAAATTATCATAAAGCTCACACCAAATTCACCAATGGATGGATATCATCAGAGGAACATATATGTGGGTGGCAGTAGGGGTCAATGCAGCTGAGCTGCTTATAATATACTTTTATGATCAAATGCAAATCAACCCCCAGTGAACTGTGAAGCCAGTTCTTGCGGAATACAAACTACTAGAAGGCTCATCATGGTTTTTTAGAAATTTTCTAATCAAGCAGCTTCTGTGCATGATCTCCTCCTCCAGTGGAGAAGGGTGCCCACAATTATTTAAGACCAGCACTTAAAAACCATCTCTGGCGATCGATGATCAGTACTGGCCTGCTTAATCAGATTTTCTTTCCACTAATGGAGGAGTGATCCTAACGAAACTGCCAGCTTAGTAACCACTTATTGCCCATTAAAGAATGTGGCAGGTGGAAAGTGCGACTGGGGCAGCTAGCAACCAGCTCTCGCTTTCAATTTTGGATCCATCAAACATTTAATCCAATCTCGTATCTGTCTTCCGGACTAGTTGCTTACTTCGTATTCTGGCAATCCATGCGTCTATCAGCGGTCGCTAAGCATGTATATTCATCATTCCTCTAAAATGCCAGGACCTAGCTATGAGCATGAATCATCAACTGGCTGCTATATATGCTAGCAGCTGGTTTTCTTTCTGTTATTCGTGGAGCGCTCTGGTAGGATTAGACAGTAAAAAAATCAAGAATTTCGATTACCTAGTACGTGTCTTTATTTAATTTTTTTTTTTTTGGGTGTGTGTGTGTGTGTGTTTCTAACCTCGAAAAGAAAATTTTGAAGTTATTAAATTCTGTCAATTCTATTAGCAATGCGAAACAAAAGCCGTAGCACCTGAACCTGAAAGGCGTTTTACGCGTCGACGATCTGTTGGCATCACATGCCAGATGCAATGATTAATAATCAGCAAGGCAATCCTGTAAGAATTAATACGCGTCGATTATCTGTTTGAATTCTTGGAATGTAATAATCAATCAATATAAACTAAATACAGTGCAAAAATCAGAATGTTCTCTCTCATCCTTGCCCTGTATGCCTGCCTTATTGCTATAAAAAAAAAAAAAAAAATCTCAACTTGGAAATTTTTCTCTTTTTTCAGTTTTCAGAGAAGTGATTATTAATTTGGAAGGAGGAAGGGGGAATGAGGAGAACAGCGAGAGACTTGAAGTATTGGTTTCGTTTTTTCTTAATCGAGGTGTTCGAATCCG